CTCTCCAGGACTGAGTATTCTAGGCGAAAATGAGGCTAGATCACTAATAAGCCAGTCGGGTAAGTAATCAGTAAGTTTCTCTAAGGCGCTGTCGAACTCCTCATCTGAAGAACCACATACTGGATTCCGACGTAGGTCCTCCAACGACCCTCGAAGCCGCGCCAGGAATGATGAAACGCTGCCAGAGCTTGCACTGTTGTTATCTTCCACATCCTCGCGGTATTTATTCTTGCTGTCGCATTTTGAGGCGCTTAGGAATAATTCCTCTCCAGACCCTGAAGTCACGGTATGTCCCATTCTCTCTGATTTCGCCAAGGCCTCTTCCAATCGACTCTTTAAATCACTACAGGTGCGTCTCGCTCTTTGCAAGCGCTCCAAAGGCGTCAATAGTGAACGTGGACAGGAACTTGAACTTTGGGAGCCGCTTTCTGAATTCGTGCTTTTCACGGACTCAGATGGGCTGCGCAGGTATTTGTCTGACTTTCGGCCTCTTTTTGAGGCACAGTTCTTGACGGAAGTCTCACTAATTGACTCGCTGTAACTACAAATGCGAGATTGACAGTTACCCATTTCAGAAATGTAAATATATCGAAATTTCTTGCTTTAAGAAAAAGTACGTCTTTCTTGAACAGAGAAACGAGTTGATGTGTTCTTTTTCATTGTTACGTCTCTGATACGCAGTAATTAATTTGCGCGCGCGTGTGACGCAAAGAATAATTACTGTGTGTAGAGAGCCGATTTTTTGCATTTTTCTTTTTTCTTTTGTTTTTTCACTGTAATTTTTTCTTTTTACACCAATTCTTTCCTAAAATATTCCAGGACGTCCAAACTATTTTCAATGCATAAATTTTTAAAGTTAATCTCTTTAAAAAATACGAGTGGTCAAATACCGCTGAAAATATGCTACATACAGTCCGAAAATTTTACCAGCTTTGATTTATATGCGAAACAAAGGAGGCTTGTCAGGCTTGCAAAGTGTACTTTTCTATTTTATTTCATTCACTGTTGTTTATAGAAAAGAGAGATTTTCCTCAAATTGCCATGTCCCTCTCAACTGTAAAAATTAAAACTAATTTATTTGATTAATAGGTATTTCCTACCATGAATTAATCTTATGCCCAGGCCTTCCTCGGCCGAGATGCATGAGTACCTTTTCATTTGAGATGGGTTCCCTATAAATGTCGCTTGAAACAATGGAAGCAGATTTCGCCAGCCATATGTTTGTGTTGTTCGTCATGAGCCACAGCGCACAAGCTGTGCTCATGATTAACCTTCCGCAGAAATGGTGAGGTAAGTTTTGACTGACGCGCAATTGATTTTTCGTTTGCGGGGCCAAACTAGGTTGAGAAAGTATAACCATAATACAAGAGATTACAAGTGAGTACAGATCTTTTCAAAGTGTAGAATCTCAGGTCAACAAAATTTTTTACAGGACGTTTATTGTTTCAAGTTATCTGTGTTGATTAGTCAAGTCAATCCGGTGCTTTTTGCCGCAGTTTCTTTAGAAGCTTTTCGCAACAGTTGACCAGTCTTAGCAGGAACACAGTTCCTGAGGCTTCGCTTAGAGGCATGGTTTCTCGTGTTCTGTAAGAAGAAATGCCTTTCTCTCCCTCCCCCCACCCCCCACCCCACTTCACATATAACTGCAACAAAGTTATGGTAACAGAATTTTATAAAATGCAATTTTGGACTTTTTTTTATAATACATGAATTTAAAATCCGCCTTTACCTCTGACACTTTCCAGACTTGAAACCGACCATTACCTGCCGGTTCGCATGCAAACTTGTAACTCTGAATAATTTCAAACTCGCGGAAAATTAAGTTCAACATGCCAAATTGTCAGAGCTCACCGGTGGATTTAATGACTGCATAGCCTTAAATCATGACACCCTAGGCATCACCTCCCTGGGTGGTAGTGGGGGAGGTAGCATGGTTCCCCGCAAAATTATAGGTAATTGAAGTAGTAAAGACGTGCATTCCTTTATTCTGAGCAAGAATTGATTTTATGGGTACTTACGTAAAGCAGCAATTTGCTATGGCAAAGTCAAAAATGAAATATAGATCAGAAAGCTCAGATATGTGAGAAATAATAGTTTTAGCGTGAGAACGTAAGATTTCAAAATTCTTTTAAGTGTTTCATGCTCAATGCTTGAGACTTGAGCGCTCTGATATTTACTGTAGTCGACCTTGAGAAGATGATTGCAACCAACTTGGCGAACCTTTTATGCCACAAATCTATCACATTAAACTTTTTACTCCTAGCATAAAATCTAACAGATTTCCTTGCGTCAATTTTGCACCAATTAAAGCACGGTCACGCTTAACGCAAATATTGCAAGCGTGGGAAAAAGAACAATTTCAAAAAATACAAAAAAGGCCCGATTGATAGAACAACTTTCATTTTAAAATAAACTTTATCATTAAGTCGACTTGCGTTAATCTCTAGTTATTAAAAAACAAATGAAAGGCCACAATACATTAGCCTTTAATTTACTAATATTTACACGTGCGCCTAAAAACCTCAAAGCGCCATTGACTGCTGACACGCAATAACATCAATATACTTGGGTTTGAAGGTCAGGACATGAGCACGATAAAAAATGAAGAAGCGGAAATCAACTTCTTTCGAAACTTGTCGAGAGGAACGTTTGAACGATTTACAATATGGACTTACCTCTCAGTAACATTCGCCGGAGCAAAAGTATTTCGAGAAAACACATCCAATATTCTTGTCACTGCAGTCGCAATACTCGGCTAAATTATATTTCGAATGTAAAATTTCCATGTGTTATTTCTTGCTGAAGAGTTCGTGGTTTTCCAACACTAGAGGACTTTTCTACAATCCATACGAGAAACCGGATTCGAATAACTAACAATTTTGAGTTCACTACACACTGGCAAATGACGAACATGATATATTCATAAACACCCAAAGGTTTTCATAAGACCTTTGTTGCCCCGGTGATATCCCAAGTTTATTGTTAAAACACTTAAAACGCTGAAGAACTAATTTGTCGCTCTCAAAATTCAGCTACCGAGAAATTATTTGATAATGCATGTTGGTTAAGAAAAGGTCACTAGTCTACGTCGATTTGAAAAACTTTTTCTTTTTTCTGTCGCGAAGCTTATGTCATATTTATTCGTCACGGGTACTCAAACCACGCAAAAAGCGTTAAAATAACTTGTTCAAACATACATAGTTCCTCTGCAAACACGCTGTGTTGACGTCAAATGATGTCACTAAAATACGTTAGAAAGGATTTTCTAAAACTAACACGCAGTGCTGTTATGTAAGTGAAGTGAAAAGTCTCTTAAGATTCTGACAACATATTCGAATAACGCGCGCAGAGTGAATAGTTCTCAGTAACAATCACGTTAAACAGTGCAGGGAATGTTTTTTTTTTCAGATTTAAAGTATAAGGAAAGAATCACTGCTCTTTGTTTCATTTGAATCATTTCTTTATTAACGACAGAGTGCGCGCTCAACCAGTGATAGGTCGATCAACTCGAAACTTCAACATCCCCCTCGGCAACTCCCCGCGGGCATTTAAAATTTTGAAGATCAGTTCGTTCAAATTCCCGTCCCCCACCCCCGGGAAAAATTTGTGTTCAAACACCCCACTATTATACAAGTCTTTATTGAACGATTCTTTTTGTGATCAACGAATGTTGTAGAATTTAGTAAATCACATAATATTTTTTTGGTGCCGCTGTTTGGTTTTTCGCTGGTACGTATCATTTTTTTAATGTGAAAATTGTATTCTAAGCCATTTGCTCAAGAATCGGACTCTACCTCAAACTCATTGTGTATTCTCTTGGTTCAGCTTTCCTACCCCATTGAGACGAGGTTCAAATTCCCCACCCCCGGGGCACCCACGACAGTCAAATAATAATCCTTCTTCGCAAAAAGATCAGTTTTACACTGAAAAGAAGAGTTAGACTAGAAAAGCGACTCCCGCCTGAGTTTGACTCCCGACAAAGCAAACGTAATAAACCCCTTCCCCCTCCCCCCGAGATACCCAGTCGTCAGTGTTTGGCGCTCTATCCTTCAATGAAGACTTGGAATTCAGAATCGTCCCAGTCTTGCTCTCCTGCTAATTCTCTAGTTTTACTCGGAATACAGCTCTCTCCATTCTGAGAGAAGGGCTCTTTCGATCCAGAAAATATTTAAGAACGGCTTCCACACCAAGAATTAATTTATTAAGTAACTTGTTGAACATCATAATACACAGAATTACAGGAGAAAAATCCTGAAAATCTTTCATGTTTTAAAACGGACTTGAAAGTTAAAACTACTTCTCACGGCAAGAAATAACTACACATTAATATATCTCTCAGTTAGTACGTGCATCTTTATTGGTCTATTGATCGGACCGTATTTCTCTATACAGCCTGCTAAATGCAAACCTTTGCTCTGGTCGCCAAAAAAGATTTAATAAAAATGTTTGAGTTACAGTTAGGTACCGAGTTTTTTTATCGCGCAGATTTATGTCGCAAGCGCAAATCAAAACATTACTGGCTGAATTGCCATCCACAAACAATAGAGATATTTTGCGCAGAAAATATTTTTTCTTTCTCTTGAAATCTGATCGGTACAAAAAAGGAAAAAAACAAACAAACAAAAAAAAAAACCGAAAAAAACAGAACACAACAATAAAGCCCCAGGGCACTAAAGTGTCGAAAAGTGACCTTGGCGTCTGCCGGTCTCAGTTATTAGTTTGTTTTGCTTTAAAATTCTAATAACTTTCAAAAACGATCAACTTGTGAGTTAGTGCATGAATTTTCAAAATTAGAATCATTCAGACAGTTTAAGCAATCCTGTGCGGTATGCTTACTGCTTTACTAAGAAATCGGCCATAAAAACAAGATAACCGACTCACTAATCTAAAAGAAAAAAATGAGTAATATGCAAGTTTTCACTACATCACAACTTCTTTGCTCACTGATGATCGGTTTTTTTCCTACACAACCCCGCACAAAAAATTGTCAATGAGCATTTTTAGATGTGTGAATCACCAGGCGATTCATCCATAATGCAAGGAGAAAACTGTTCACATCCTGGGCTGAGATGTAAACGGCTGAGGCCAAGCTCAACATCTTTCATCGAGTCTCTTCCACATTCGCCTTCTTCAACGATGTCTCTCGGACAAGTCATCTCTGTTTGGGTTATCAACTTCTTTCCTGACATTTTAGGCAAACTTTCTGTCTTCTTCCCTTTTAGCTATGAAGAGAGAAAAAGGTACATAATGTATACAAGAAGCAAAGTGTAAAAGTATGTTATCGTGTTATAACCATAGTTGTATTGATAACACTCAGTAGACTTTGCTGAAAGGAAAAGAGTTCGAAGTAGGGTAATGTGAAAAGGATAAGCGATAGGAAAGGTGAAAAACGCGAATGACAAACGAAGGAAACTACAGCATTAACCCTTAATTGGAGAGAGATGTTTTTCGTTTTGGTCATGTGTGTGGAAAAAATAAAAGTTTCCATGAGGAATCTAACTTCTGAATTTTTTTTTAATCCATGGCTTCTGTCGATGCAAACTTCCTGTCCAGTTAAACCGTGAGTTTTTTATTTCCGGTCCAATTGGAGTACACTATTCGACGCTTGAAATATTAACACGACAATTAAATAATCTTAGTAATACTCGATTTGGAAAGAAACGGACATATCACTTTTCAAGCAACAATTTTAGCTTTAGAGTTAACGATGGTTCGATTCCCAAATTTTGAACCAAATACGAATTATGCCTGGAAAATGAAAACTATGCTTAAAGTAGTTTTTGCAATGCTATATACGTGTTCATTTCCCAAAAAAATTTAATTCATCGCCACGCAGTTTTCTGGTCTTAAAGTCTAGTTAGCAACAATTAAAGCAAAGTAAATCTCGTAAGAGCGTCTCATAAACTCAAGACATTCATACGTTTTGCACTTCTATAGAAATTGATCCCTTTCTTGAATAAAGATTTGCTCTCAAAATATTTTCTGGTCAGGTTTCCTTGCTTTCTATCCAAGTTTCCTAGTAGCCCGCAAGCATATCATCCTATGACTGGGGTGGCACTACAACCCTTCCGAAGAAACAACAAGAAAGAAACGGAAAGAGCTCGCAACTTCTTTCAACGTTTTGTTCAAAAGCTATAAAATATTTCACTTTCAAACTCTGACCTAACTATTTATTTTTAAGTTTCCATGAGGAATCTAACTTCTGAATTTTTCCTTTATTTTTCGAAGTTCCGCGTTCACGACGAAAAAAAATTGTTTCCCTCTTTCACTACCGAGCTCAAAATTTTTGAAACCCGCTATTACCACTAATTTGTCACCCTAACACACAAAACTAATTTGTCACCCTGTCACACAAAACATATTTGCAGAATTTTTTCTAGTTCAAAGTGTTTTTCCATTTTGATCTTCTTCGTCTTCTTTTTTCAGTCAAGTACAAACTGCCAGACATGAACTTAGCTTGTGATACCGTCTCTCAGTTAAAGTTGGGCTGCAGGTAAATCACTAGGTGTTTTGTTACACAGCAAGTATCTCTAACACGTCATCAATATCTTTATCATTCAATCACTACACATCATACAAGAAGTGTAACTGTAAATAAATTCAAAGTAAGGGTTGACACATCACTCCGTTCCTACAACTGATTTTTGAAATTATTTATGAAAATGTTTTCAGAAATATACCGTTATAACTTCCAAACATACCTGTACATCGTACTTTCTTTCAAATGGTTCTTTAGTAACCTGAAAGTAAGTCAAATAATACAACAATCAGTCCATGCACTGGAAACTACACATCATCATTGTTATAAGAATGTAAGTTGTTGCTTTACACTCTCAGTACTATGAAAAAGCTTAGAGCTGCAAATAAACACTGACAACAAATGTTTATCACACATCAGGTAAACCAATAAATGTTATTAATCAACCGGAAGGTCCGTATTAGGAAAAACTGTGCCGAAGGGTGGTACTCAAGACAGAGCACACAGTTTTTTCTAATGCAGACCGACCTAGGCTGGTGAATAACATTTTTATTTTTTTTTCTGAAACTTGACGAAATGCTTGCGAAAAGAACCCGAAATATGTTGACATTTCTGCCGCAGTTTGTGTTCAAGGATAGTTTTCTTTGTCTTGAAGTAGGTTTTCCTTCCGTTGCTTAACAGCCTTCGTTGTCTGAATCTATAATTTAAAGTCACTTGCAACAATATTTACGTCGTTAAGCCTCTCTCGTAAATCGATGGAAAGGTGCAAAATGCACCTGGGTCCGAATGGGAAAATTAGGACCACTGGAGCGCGCGGAATTAGCCAATCAGATTCGAGGATTTAGGGTTCCGGACTACTGAGATGCTAACTGGAGCTATCACCGTTTTTCAGCCTGCTAAAGTTAATCTCTTGGAACAAAGCACAAGAAGGAATGAACCAATTGACATGCTACACAAGAATGAATGCTTTTAAATTCATAAAGCGTTTTAAATTAAGCCAGAGGAATGAAGCGAGAAAACATTCCTATTATCACATCTGAGATGTAACGAAGAATAACAAGGAAGTTCAGCTGAGCAAGTTCTTACTAATACAGGAGTGTTTACAAAATGCACATAACGTGAAGCTCGTTTCCTGAAATATACCATTTGATGTATCTGTTTATGTAAAATAGTGTTGGTAAATATGGTCAATTGACCAATGCAGAATTTCTACTACAAAATTAAACTTCTTCTGAACAGCAACCAAACATACCCTGGCACCAGCTACGAACTTTCTATGCAGGCGCACTTCAGGCGGCTTGATGTTAATAGTCCGCTAAGAAAGTAATTAAAAAGCACTCATGAGTTCACTGAACAGCCTCACTCCATAAGCTAAAATTAATGTAGCCTTGCAATGGCAGTTTCTGAAGAGAGGGGGAGAGGATTTGAAGAGCTACTACTTAAGCTAGAAAGTAATGATTCTCAAAATAATGACAACAGAACGAGACAGAGATATTTGAAGCTCAACCATTAAATAAATATGGTCAATTGACCAATGCAGAATTTCTACTACAAAATTAAACTTCTTCTGAACAGCAACCAAACATACCCTGGCACCAGCTACGAACTTTCTATGCAGGGGCACTTCAGGCGGCTCGATGTTAATAGTCCGCTAAGAAAGTAATTAAAAAGCACTCATGAGTTCACTGAACAGCCTCACTCCATAAGCTAAAATTAATGTAGCCTTGCAATGGCAGTTTCTGAAGAGAGGGGGAGAGGATTTGAAGAGCTACTACTTAAGCTAGAAAGTAATGATTCTCAAAATAATGACAACAGAACGAGACAGAGATATTTGAAGCTCAACCATTAAATAAATATGGTCAATTGACCAATGCAGAATTTCTACTACAAAATTAAACTTCTTCTGAACAGCAACCAAACATACCCTGGCACCAGCTACGAACTTTCTATGCAGGCGCACTTCAGGCGCCTCGATGTTAATAGTCCGCTAAGAAAGTAATTAAAAAGCACTCATGAGTTCACTGAACAGCCTCACTCCAGAAGCTAAAATTAATGTAGCCTTGCAATGGCAGTTTCTGAAGAGAGGGGGAGAGGATTTGAAGAGCTACTACTTAAGCTAGAAAGTAATGATTCTCAAAATAATGACAACAGAACGAGACAGAGATATTTGAAGCTCAACCATTTTCCTTTAAGGGCTTCAAATTATGTGAATTTAAATCAGGACGTCTACCCCGGCTCCGGCCAACTGTATTCTAGAAGGTTTGTAGCCACACATCCTTCTCTTTTCACAAATTTTCAACGCATTACCACACAATTATCTAGCCGTAAGGTCCAGCAAACAAAGATTTAGTCATCATGAATTTTTTCGAAGCATCTAAAAATCAAGAAATTCACGAGTTTTAGCCCTTCTTTAGCGAAAACTGTTGTCTCCAAATATTTTGTGACCAGGTTTGCCTTTCTTTTTATCCATGGCTCCTGTCGATGCAAACTTCCCGTCCAGTTAAACCGCGAGTTTTTTATTTCCGGTCCAATTGGAGTACACTATTCGACGCTTGAAATATTAACATCTAAGTAATACTCAATTTGGTTTTGCACTTCTATAGAAATTGAACCCTTTCTTGAATAAAGATTTGCTCTCAAAATATTTTCTTGCCAATGTTCTTGCTTTCTATCCTAGTTTCCTAGTAGCTCGCAAGCATATCATCCTATGACTGGGGTGGCACTATAACCCTTCCGAAGAAACAACAAAAAAGAAACACAAAGAACTTGCAACTTCTTTCAACGTTAAGTTCAAAAGCTATGAAATATTTTACTTTCAAACTCCGACCTAACTCTTTATAACTTTAACAATTTATGCCTCTAACATACCATGTAACATACATGGTTCAATCTGCTTTTGGGAAGACTACACTCTTCAAATGTTTTTCAAGCATAAGGTCCCAAATAGTACTAACTTGTACAACAGTTCAGCATATCATGTGAATAAGGGAATAACATGACTTTTTGAGGGAATATTGTTTATTTGCGCCCTTGTAGTGTCATTTGCGCTACAAACTACAAGGGCGCAAATAAACAATATTCCCTCAAAAAGTCATGTCAATGATATCAAGAATGCGAGTTTTAATAATACAAGCTAAGTGAATGACGAATTCAAAGTCACTTCAAATCATCAAGTAAGCTGTAGGGCTGATAATGCATTAGCAGCCCGCTGTCAGTCTTTTGCGGCCCGCTGAGCGTGTGTTTTGAAGAGGCCGATTTTCTATTTGGCCGCGTATATTGATAATAATTCATTTTAATTTTATTTAACTGACTTAACTATATATAACATATACAAATTATGCTTCTAACGTACCATTTCTTCTTTTTTGACATCAGCTCCCTTCTCCATGAGCAACCTTGCAATATAAAAATTACCATTCCTCGCAGCCACAATGAGTGGAGTGTCCTCCTAAATATAGAAAAGAAAAACAATGGAAAAGTACAGCAATATATAAAGCGCTTTTTTCTTCTGTAATGACCAACCTCTGGATATATGGCTGAATCCTCTTTTGGGACGACTACACTCTTCCAATGTTATTCAAGCATAAGGCCCGAGGTAGTATTACCTTGTACAACAGTTCAGCATGTCATGTGAATTCATTTTAATTGTTAGAAGAGGTAGTAAGAATGAAGCAATACAACGAACCCTGCACCACAGACATGACAACTGTCTATGCAAAGGTCCCTTCTGCTTGACTTTTTAAGATGGATTTCAGTTCCATAAAATATTGGACTTTCAAACTCTGACCTAACTATATATAACGTATACAAATTATGCTTCTAACGTACCCCTACTTCTTTGTTGACATCAGCTCCGTTCTCTATGAGCAAACTAGCAATAGGATGGTGACTATTCCTCACAGCCACAATGAGTGGAGTGTCCTCCTAAATATAGAAAAGAAGAACAATGGAAAAGTACAGCAATATATAAAGCGCTTTTTTCTTCTGTAATGATCAACCTCTGGATAAAAGGCTGAATTCTCTTTTGGGACGACTACACTCTTCCAATGTTATTCAAGCATAAGGCCCGAGGTAGTATTACCTTGTACAACAGTTCAGCATGTCATGTGAATTCATTTTAATTGTTAGAATAGAAGCAATACAACGAACCCTGCACCACAGACATGACAACTGTCTATGCAAAGGTCCCTTCTGCTTGACCTTTTAAGATGGATTTCAGTTCCATAAAATAGTGGACTTTCAAACTCTGACTTAACTATATATAACGTATACAAATTATGCTTCTAACGTACCCCTACTTCTTTGTTGACATCAGCTCCGTTCTCTATGAGCAAACTAGCAATAGGATGGTGACTATTCCTCACAGCCACAATGAGTGGAGTGTCCTCCTAAATATAGAAAAGAAAAACAGTGGAAAAGTACAGCAATATATAAAGCGCTTTTTTCTTCTCTAATGATCAACCTCTGGATAAAAGGCTGAATCCTCTTTTGGGACGACTACACTCTTCCAATGTTATTCAAAGATAAGGCCCGAGGTAGTATTACCTTGTACAACAGTTCAGCATGTCATGTGAATTCATTTTAATTGTTAGAAGAGGTAGTAAGAATGAAGCAATACAACGAACCCTGCACCACAGACATGACAACTGTCTATGCAAAGGTCCCTTCTGCTTGACCTTTTAAGATGGATTTCAGTTCCATAAAATATTGGACTTTCAAACTCTGACTTAACTATATATAACCTATACAAATTATGCTTCTAACGTACCCCTACTTCTTTGTTGACATCAGCTCCCTTATCTATGAGCAAACTAGCAATACGATGGTGACTATTCCTCACAGCCACAATGAGTGGAGTGTCCTCCTAAATATAGAAAAGAAAAACAATAGAAAAGTACAGCAATATATAAAGCGCTTTTTTCTTCTCTAATGATCAACCTCTGGATAAAAGGCTGAATCCTCTTTTGGGACGACTACACTCTTCAAATGTTATTCAAGCATAAGGTCCGAGGTAGTATTACCTTGTACAACAGTTCAGCAAGGCATGTGAATTCGATTTAAAGGTTACATGACGATTCCCAAATTTTGAACTAGATAAGAATTATGCCTGGAAAATGAAAACTATGCTTAAAGAAGTTTTTCCAATGCTTTACATGTGTTCATTTCCCCCAAAAAACTTAATTCATTGCCACGCATTTTTCTGGTCGTAAAGTCTAGTAAGCAACAATTAAAGCTAAGTGAATCTCGTAAGAGCGTCACATAAACGCAAGACATTCATACGTTTTGCACTTCTATAGAAATTGATCCCTTTCCTGAATAGAGATTTGCTCTCAAAATATTTCTGATCAGGTTTCCTTGCTTTCTATCCAAGTTTTCTAGTAGCTGGCAAGCATATCATCCTATGACTGGGGTGGTACTATAACCCTTCCGAAGAAACAACAAGAAAGAAACACAAAGAACTTGCAACTTCTTTCAACGTTTAGTTCAAAAGCTGTGAATTATTTCACTTTCAAACTCCGACCTAACTCTGTATAACTTTTACAATTTATGCCTCTAACATACCTCACTTCCGGTGTTGACATCAGCTCCGTTCTCTACGAGCAACCTTACAATACCAGTGTCACCGTTCTTTACAGCCTCAGTGAATAAAGTGTCCTTGAAAATATGGAGAAAAACAATGAGAAAGTACAGAAAAAAACAAGCACATTTTCCTTCTGCAACATCCAACCTCCGTATACATGGTTCAATCTGCTTTTGGGAAGACTACACTCTTCAAATGTTTTTCAAGCATGAGGTCCCAAATAGTACTAACTTGTACAACAATTCAGCATATCATGTAAATTCATTTTAATTTTATTTAACTGACTTAACTATATATAACATATACAAATTATGCTTCTAACGTACCATTTCTTCTTTTTTGACATCAGCTCCCTTCTCCATGAGCAACCTTGCAATATAACTTTTACTATTCCTCACAGCCACAATGAGTGGAGTGTACTCCTAAATATAGAAAAGAAAAACCAATGGAAAAGTACAGCAATATATAAAGCGCTTTTTTCTTCTATAATGATCAACCTTTGGATAAAAGGCTGAATCCTCTTTTGGGACGACTACACTCTTCCAATGTTATTCAAGCATAAGGCCCGAGGTAGTATTACCTTGTACAACAGTTCAGCATGTCATGTGAATTCACTTTAATTTCTAGAAGAGGTAGTAAGAATGAAGCAATACAACGAACCCTGCACCACAGACATGACAACTGTCTATGCAAAGGTCCCTTCTGCTTGACCTTTTAAGATGGATTTCAGTTCCATAAAATATTGGACTTTCAAACTCTGACTTAACTATATATAACCTATACAAATTATGCTTCTAACGTACCCCTACTTCTTTGTTGACATCAGCTCCCTTCTCTATGAGCAACCTTGCAATATCACAATAACTATTCCTCACAGCCACAATGAGTGGAGTGTCCTCCTAAATATAGAAAAGAAAAACAGTGGAAAAGTACAGCAATATATAAAGCGCTTTTTTCTTCTGTAATGATCAACCTCTGGATAAAAGGCTGAATCCTCTTTTGGGACGACTACACTCTTCCAATGTTATTCAAGCATAAGGCCCGAGGTAGTATTACCTTGTACAACAGTTCAGCATGTCATGTGAATTCATTTTAATTTCTAGAAGAGATAGTAAGAATGAAGCAATACAACGAACCCTGCACCACAGACATGACAACTGTCTATGCAAAGGTCCCTTCTGCTTGACCTTTTAAGATGGATTTCAGTTCCATAAAATATTGGACTTTCAAACTCTGACTTAACTATATATAACCTATACAAATTATGCTTCTAACGTACCCCTACTTCTTTGTTGACATCAGCTCCGTTCTCTATGAGCAACCTTGCAATAGAACAATAACTATTCCTCACAGCCACAATGAGTGGAGTGTCCTCCTAAATATAGAAAAGAAAAACAATGGAAAAGTACAGCAATATACAAAGCGCTTTTTTCTTCTCTAATGATCAACCTCTGGATAAAAGGCTGAATCCTCTTTTGGGACGACTACACTCTTCCAATGTTATTCAAGCATAAGGCCCGAGGTAGTATTACCTTGTACAACAGTTCAGCATGTCATGTGAATTCATTTTAATTTCTAGAAGAGGTAGTAAGAATGAAGCAATACAACGAACCCTGCACCAAAGACATGACAACTGTCTATGCAAAGGTCCCTTCTGCTTGACCTTTTAAGATGGATTTCAGTTCCATAAAATATTGGACTTTCAAACTCTGACTTAACTATATATAACCTATACAAATTATGCTTCTAACGTACCCCTACTTCTTTGTTGACATCAGCTCCCTTCTCTATGAGCAACCTTGCAATAGAACAATAACTATTCCTCACAGCCACAATGAGTGGAGTGTCCTCCTAAATATAGAAAAGAAAAACCAATGGAAAAGTACAGCAATATATAAAGCGCTTTTTTCTTCTATAATGATCAACCTCTGGATAAAAGGCTGAATCCTCTTTTGGGACGACTACACTCTTCCAATGTTATTCAAGCATAAGGCCCGAGGTAGTATTACCTTGTACAACAGTTCAGCATGTCATGTGAATTCATTTTAATTTCTAGAAGAGGTAGTAAGAATGAAGCAATACAACGAACCCTGCACCACAGACATGACAACTGTCTATGTAAAGGTCCCTTCTGCTTGACCTTTTAAGATGGATTTCAGTTCCATAAAATATTGGACTTTCAAACTCTGACTTAACTATATATAACCTATACAAATTATGCTTCTAACGTACCCCTACTTCTTTGCTGACATCAGCTCCGTTCTCTATGAGCAACCTAGCAATATGATAGTGACTATTCCTCACAGCCACAATGAGTGGAGTGTCCTCCTAAATATAGAAAAGAAAAAAATGGAAAAGTACAGCAATATATAAAGCGCTTTTTTCTTCTGTAATGATCAACCTCTGGATATAAGGCTGAATCCTCTTTTGGGACGACTACACTCTTCCAATGTTATTCAAGCATAAGGCCCGAGGTAGTATTGCCTTGTACAACAGTTCAGCAAGGCATGTGAATTCGATTTAAAGGTTACATGACGATTCCCAAATTTTGAACTAGATAAGAATTATGCCTGGAAAATGAAAACTATGCTTAAAGTAGTTTTTACAATGCTTTACATGTGTTCATTTCCCCCAAAAAACTTAATTCATCGCCACGCAGTTTTCTGGTCGTAAAGTCTAGTAAGCAACAATTAAAGCAAAGTGAATCTCGTAAGAGCGTCTCATAAACGCAAGACATTCATACGTTTTGCACTTCTATAGAAATTGATCCCTTTCTTGGATGAAGATTTGCTCTCAAAATATATTCTGGTCAGGTTTCCTTGCTTTCTATCCAAGTTTCCTAGTAGCTCGCAAGCATATCATCTTATGACTGGGGTGGTATTATAACCCTTCTAAAGAAACAACAAGAAAGAAACGGAAAGAGCTTGCAACTTCTTTCAACGTTTTGTTCAAAAGCTCTAAAATATTTCACTTTAAAACTTTGACCTAACTCTTTATATTTAAGTTTCCATGAGAAATCTAACTTCTGAATTTTTCCTTTATTTTTCTAAGTTCCACGTTCACGACGGAAAAAATTATTTCCCTCTTTCACTACCGAGCTCAAAATTTTTTAACCCCGCTATTACCACTTATTTGTTACCCTTACAACACATATTTGCAGAATGTTTTCTAGTTCAAAGTTTTTTTTCCATTTTGATCTTCTTCGTCTTCTTTTTTCAGTCAAGTATGGCTTAAAATGTACACGAAGGACAGCTGCTGTGTTACTGAGCAAACAGAAGGAATCTATTTGTCAAATAGAACGGCCGTGTGTCAATAACAGGATGTACGTAGTTACATTTTCCTATACAGTTCCGTCCAGTTTGGCCGCGACTTTCAAACCATACAAGATGGTTTTTCAGTTCCGGTCCGATTGACATTCACCGTTAAGAAATTTTTAACACATCGCTACGCAATTTTCTGAACTTGGAGCAGCTTTTCAATGGTAAATATAATTTTAAATATAAGTTTTCGTTTCCTAAAAATTATGTTGAATAGAAGAATTTGTTTCAAAATTTTTCTACTTTTACAACATAACATCACATAACCACACACCACCCTCTACACAACATATACCATTTACCCTTCTAACGTACCCTTCCTTCTTTGTTGACATCATCTCCGTTTATTTTAAGAAACCTAACAATATCAGTGTGACCATTTCGTACAGCTTCAATGACAATGAAGAAATGTATGAGAAACACAATGAGAAATGTACAGCAAGAAATAAAGCTCATTTTATCCTCTTCAATGACCAACCTAAGGATATATGGTTCAATCTGCTTTTGGAACGACGACATTCTTCAAATGTTTTTCAAGTGTAAGGTCCGAAGTAGTATTACCTCGTACAAAAGTTCAGCATATCATATGAATTCATTTTTATGGTTAGAAGGGGCAATAAGAATGAAGTAACGCATTGGGCTCAAGCACCACAGACATAGCAACTGTCTATGCATAAGTCCCTTCCTGATTAAGCACGAGTTTTTAACCTTCTAAGATGGTTTTCAGTTCCACGTTTCAGGACCTTTCAAATTTAAATGAAAACTATATAAACTAAATAATACTAGTTTCGGAAATAATGGTTATCTAACGTTTCAAGCGACAAAATAAGTTTTAGAATCAATAATAGTTTGATTATTAAACGTGATAAGACTAATAGTGGAAAAATGAAAGAGAGAAGTAAACTTGGAGAAGCTTTTCAACGGTAAATATCATTTTAAATATAAGTCTTTGTTTCTTAAAAATTTTGTTGAATTAAGACTTTGTTTCAAAATCTTTCTTTTTCTATAAATTTTCAACACATTACCAAGCGATTATCTGGCCGTAAAATCAAGTAAAAAACGATTTACTCATGGTGAATCTCTCTAGAAATTTCAAGGAATTCACAGGTTTTGCACTTCTTAACAAATTTAGCACTTCTTTTAATAAAACTATGGTCTTCAAACGTTTTCTGACTAGGTTTTCCTTTCTTTTTATCCATGGCTGTCGTCCATGCAAAAAAATCTCGATACATTGCCCCGCAATTTTCTGGTCGTAAAGTCTAGTAAACAACGATTCAGACATGGTGAATCTCGTTCGAGCGTCTCATAAACGCAAGACGTTCGTACGTTTTGCACTTCCAAAGAAATTAATCCCCTTCTTCAATAAAGCTTTGCTCTCAAAATATTTTCTGGCCAGGTTTCCTGGCTTTCTATCCAAGTTTCCTTGTAGCCTGCAAGCATATCATCTTATGACTAGGGTGGCACTATAACCCTTCCAAAGAAACAACGAAAGAAAAAAGGGAAAGAGCTCGCAACTCCTTGCAACGTTTTCATCAACAGCCATAAAATATTTGATTTTCAAACTCTGACTTAACTCTTTATAACATGTACAATTTATCCTTCTAACGTACCCATTCTTCTTTGTTGACATCAGCTCCGTTCTCTATGAGCAACCTTACAATATCAGTGTGAGCATTACTTGCAGCCTCAACAAGTGGAGTGTCGCCCTAAAAATAGAAAAGAAAAACAATGAGAAACTACAGTAATATATAAAGCACATTTTTCTTCCGTAACGATCAACCACTAGCTATATGGTTCAATCTGCTTTTGGGACGACTACAGTCCTCAAATGTTTTTCAAGCATAAGATCCGAAGTAGAACAACAGTTCAGCATATCATATCAATTCATTTTAATGGTTAGAAGGGGCACTAAGAATAAAGCAACATAATGACCTCCCTCACCACAGACATGGCAATTGTCTATGCAAAGATTCCTTCCTGCTTAACCACGAGTTTCAAACCTTTTAAGCTGGTTTTCAGTTCTGGTCCGATCGACATACGTTTTTGGAGCTTACAAATTTAAATAGTAACTACACCTACTAAATAACAATCGTTTATAGAATGGTGGGCATTTAACTTTCAAGGGACAAAATTAGCTCTGGAACACTGTGTTACTGTAAGGTCAAATAGTATTACCTTGTAAAAAAGTTCAACAAATCATGTGAATTCATACCAATGGTTGGTAGGGGCACAAAGAATGAGGAAACTTAATGACCCTCATCCTCACTATTGACACGACTTCTGTCCAGCTTAGCCGAGGCGCGAGTCATAAACCTTAAAGATGGTTTTTCACTTCCGGTTCGATGGATATACACTTTTGGGGTTTGTAAGTTTTAATGGAAGCTAAAAAAATTAAACCATATTATTCTCGATTCGGAAAACCTGATGTAAACTATGTCTGGAAAATGAAAACTTGATAATTTTAAATACAAGTCTTTGTTCCCTAAAAGCACTGTTGAATAGAAGAGTTTGTTTAAAAATACTTCTCCTTTCACAAATTTTTAACACATTACCACGCAATTATCTGGCAGTAAAGTCCAGTAAACAACGATTTAATCGTGGTAAATTTGTTACAAGCATCTAAAAAATCAAGGAATTCACAAGTTTTGCTCTTTCTAACAAATTTACCCTCTCTTTGAATAAAACTATAACCTCCAAATATTTTTCTTTAATGACCACCCTAAGGATATATGGTTCCATCTGCTTTTAGGACGACTACATTGTGGTAGAAATCTCAATGAAATTTAAACTCTTACTCTCAGACTCTGACTTTACTCTTTATAACATATACAATTTATCCATCTAACGTACCGGTCTTCGTTTGTTGACATCAGCTCCGTTCTCTATGAGCAACCGTACAATATCGGTGTGACCATTTCTTGCAGCCTCACACAGTGGAGTGTCCTTCAACTTATAGAAAAGAAAAACAATGAAAAAGTATAGTAATATATAAACCGCATTTTTTCTTCTCTAATCACCGCCCTAAGGAGATATAGTTCAATCTGCTTTTAAGACGACTACATTTTGATACAAATTTTAATGAAATTTAAACTCTTACTCTCAGACTCTGACTTTACTCTTTATAACATATACAATTTATCCTTCTAACGTACCGGTCCTTCTTTGTTGACATCAGCTCCGTTCTCTATGAGCAACCTTACAATATCAGTCTGACCATTTCTTGCAGCCTCAAAGATTGGAGCGTCCTTCAAAATATAGAAAAGGAAAACAACGAGAAAGTATAGTAATATATAAACCGCATTTTCTCTTCTTTAATGACCACCCTAAGGATATATGGTTGAATCTGCTTTTAGGACGACTACATTGTGGTACAAATTTCAATGAAATTTAAACTCTAACTCTCAGACTCTGACTTTACTCTTTATAACATATACAATTTATCCTTCTAACGTACCCCTCCTCCTTCGTTGACATCAGCTCCGTTCTCTATGAGCAACCTTACAATATCAGTGTGACCATTTCTTGCAGCCTCAAAGAGTGGAGTGAGCTTCACAATATAGAAAAGAAAACCAATGAGAAAGTACTGTCGTAAATACCGGTGCAGCGCTCTATCAACTCTACGCTGCACCGGTATCGCAGGGGTCATGGGTTCAAATCCCGTACGGACCTGAATTTTTTTCAGGTCCTATTTTCAACTACTAGTTCAGTAGTGTTCTTAGCTGCGAGGATCTCTTAAATTCGTATTCGTTCTGTGGTAAATGGTTGAGTCTGCTTTTCGGACGACTATA